TGAACCACATGGTTGTTTACTCCCATGGAACTGCAAGTCACTACACACACAACATGACCCCATCCCGAAGCCCATACACAACACGCTCTCCCCGGTCAGTTCCTTCACCAGCAGGTCATGAGTGTGTTCACACATGATGCCGGTCGCAACGCGCTTCGCGAATTTGGGTGTGTAAAACGCGCTCTGGTATGTCATATGTCCTTCACAAACCTGATGGGCCTATCTTTGGGGCATCTACATGGGAGGTCCAAGAGTTGGGCCATGCGCTGATGGGTCGTCATGACCTTCCAACCTTTGTGAAGCAAACCTCCTTTCTTAGGATCCCTCAGGTTCACCTGACATCCATTCACCACCGCAAACCAGGGTTGATACCTCTTCATGAGTCTTTGAACCAGGGGTAACCGCCAAGCATAACACTTTTGTGACCACTCCCAACTCACATGACAACCCTGTTGGACAGCATAGTGCCACACGCATGCAGCACCCACATACTGACGCAGAACCTCTTTCCGTTTTGCCTCGAGTTCAGCTCTTTGAGACATGGTGCGTTGATTCAAATTCTGAATGGGGGAAAAAGGTCCGCAGTCCGTGGATATCCACACATGTTTCGGTTTCAGGGTGTGAATGCGATGTAAAATCAACTGAACCCCTTCACCAGTGGTCAAATCATGACCATTCCAGTGAGCACAGCGGACTGCTGCTTCAGGATAGCCCATTTGGGTTTGCAGCTCTTGACTCAAAACACTTTCGGGGCCACAAGCCACTTCAAGCAACAAGGTTTTCCTTTGTTTCACAAGCTCCTGAAAAATTCTAGGGGCAATGCGGTGCGACTCTTGTTCTAAGTGTCGAGCGGCTGCTGCAGACAACACTCTGGGTCCAGTCCCGTCCGTGGTGCGTGATCCGGAGTCTGAGACTAAGCTAGGGCCTGGACTTTCTAAGTGTGGTGCGCTCAGATCATGTCGAAGCTGTCTGAGGTTCCTTCCGACCCCCGTGACTTCCGCTCCTTGCGAGGGTTCATATTGCCCTTCACTTCGACGATCTCCTCCTTCAGCTCTTTCATGGTCTCGGCGAGATGTTGGATCAGCTCCAAGGCCTGAGTCGAGGAGGACACACTGGCGCTGCTCGCAGCGCTGCTGCGGGCTGGAGTCCCCTTGGGCTCTTGTTTGAGTGACACCACCTTTGGCTCGGGCTCCTGAGTGCGGTACCCGGTCTTGGTGCGAGTCGGCTCGGAGTCCTTGGTCATCTTGACATCCTGATTCAGGAGCCATTGTGCTAGGCGTGCCAGCTGTGGGCAGCACGCATTGGGATCCTCCTGCCATGTGGTCTTCACCCACGTGCAGTATTGTTTGTCCTCCTTGATCTCCGCGTAGGTCAAGGAGGCTCCCTTCCCGAAACCCACTGGATCGTAGGCATCGGGCTTGCTGGTCTTGTAGATGCGGATCATCGCAGCCTTCTGGAGCTGCGCCTTGGTTTCGTTGCCGCTCTGTGCAATGCCCAGATCGGCACAGTGCTGAGCCACGGTGCTTTTGCGGGCACTGGCTTTGTTCAACTGGATCACCATCTCGCGCAATTCGGTGCGCTTGTTCTTGCTGAGGTTGATGCCATGCTCCTCGTGGAGTTGCAGAAGGCGACTTCGGAGTTCGGTCACCGTCCACTTGGCCGGTGGGGTCTCCCCGAATTCCTCGAGGGCTGCCATCAGGTCGGCTTTCTTCATTTGGCTCACCATGTTGGGCACTGTCACGAACTTGAACACGATGCGTCACGCTGCTTGGGCTCTCGCTGCGGCGTTGTGCGGTATGTCGTGTCTCTTCAAAAGAAATGTTCTGTTCAAAAGGGGAAACAGTATCACTAACTTCAAAAATAGAGGTGGAAGAGGTAACAAAAACACGGGCACTGTCAACACTATCTTCCATGACATGTCTCTCTTGGGCAACCATGACATTCTCTTCGGTCGATGGCCTCTCGGGTGTCCGATGCGGTCGGACCTCTCTTTCTCCCTCGGACGCAGGATCAGAGAGGAGTTGTCCCTAATGAATATACTCCCGGAGGCTTGGCACCTGACTCTTGCAGGTGTGTGCGGTCTTAAAAAGATCTTCAGTCAGCGGCAAAAGCTGGTGTCCAGCTGCTGACCGTTCGAGGGGAATGATCTTCGTGGCGTCCAGGCCACGCAGAACCAGAAGGTCTTCGTCAAAATCGATCACAGCTTTGAGTGCCCTCAAGGTCTGAATGGACAGCAGGATCGGCCCACTGCCTCGATCCAAGGCATGGATCTGGAGAGTTCCGGGCTTGTCATTGGCTGTGACTTGAAGCTGTGTGGTTGAGATGCAGCGATCCTTGGACCCATTGCCAAAACCAAATTGGGGTTGGTTGGTCACATCGACCTCTTGGATTCGACTGCTGCCATGCTTGGCGATGTTCTGGTCCATGACGGCCTGAATCGCTTCCACACTGCCTAAGGTCTTGGTAGCCCCACCATCAATGACAGCACAGCCTGCCTGTACTGCTTCATAGGTGGTCCGGCATTGGTCAATGCCATTGGTGGCCAGTGCGGCCTCTTCGGAGTAGCACACAAATGGTGCCTCCTCGGTCACATGGCTCTGGTGCTTGCCATCTGAGTTCTGCTTCTCTGGACACTCATTGGTGCGGTGACCTTTGCCACACTTGAGGCAGGTCATGCCATCTGACCTGGGAGGATATGGACGGTGAGGTCGCTGAAAAGTCGTCTTGTAGTACTGGCGGGAAAGCTTCACTTGGTGCTGTCGAGAACGGGCCTCTTTCAAGGTCCTTCGAGCCTGTTGTATGGCTGCATAGGCCTCCTGGGCCTGCTCTTCTGCCGCCTGGAAGAGAGCATGTCCCTGTCCCGTCAAATCATCCATCCATAGACCCACATCGGGTCCATCCTCCAGATCAAGTTCTTGATCGGGCTCATTTGCCCAGAAGCCGGCATTCTTGGTCTGTTGATCTCTGCGCTTCAATTCTTCGTCCGGCCACTGCAGCCGTAACTCTTTGGCAACTCTTTGAACTGAGAAATCTTCTTGAAGCGCTGTTTGGACCATGTTTCTTTCGAGACTGTCTAGGCCGGAGTCAGCCAGAAGGTACCAGCCCTGAAGAAATTCTGGTAATAGCTCTTCTGCATGAAGCTTCCAGGGCTCATCATCGGTACCTTCATGGTAGCCATAGCCGTAGCTCGAAGCATGCCAAGATGCTGCTTCTGGCGCTTCACTTGGCGGGTCATACCACTGGTCATCGTCGTCTTCTTGAGGAGTGTCCGCTGGCTCGTCCCAACGAGCCTGGGATCCATGGTCACTCGTGCCAGAGCCATGCCACTGGTTGCGTGACCAGGAAGACCAACTGGAGTTGTGCCAAGTGTTGGACTGCCACCCTTGATAGCTTCCTCCAAGATTCTTGCTCTTGCCATAGTACTGTTGCACTCGTGCGAGTGACTGCCGCGCCCTATGGTAGACCTCAATCTTCCGGGTGATGTACAGGCTCATCGTTTCGAACCGTTTTCTTCGGCTTTGTCGGGAGTAACGATTGAGGTATTCAGTCATCTCTGGGATGGTCGGCCGTCCCAAGCATTCTCGGATGCTGCAGTAAGTGCACGACGCCCCCATTGAATGACAACCATTGTGGCCGCTTGCCCATGACATACTTCCTGGCAGGTCCAGTCAGTTCCGCGACTAACTTGGGGCCAGCCAAGTACCTCTTGTGGTACGGAAGCCCTTGCTCCCACTGAAGGGCTTGTTCTTCATAATCTTGGAAGCTGGTGGCGTCTCCGTCCCAAGCTGGGACGCCATCCTTGGAGCGTTGGATCTCTCCCGAGCTCATCCTAAGTCGTCCTCTGGACAGGTCAAGACGTGTCCAGCCAAAACACTTCCCTGAACCGGCCTTCTGAAGGCTCCGCGCTACCATCCAACTGGATGGCCCGATGAGTAGCTTGCAACGCCCAAGCGGTCGAAGGAGGGACTATGGCTCAAAACAACCTAAACGACACGGCAAATGCGGTGTCCACGCAAAGTCCGAACCTCTTTCCCTCGAACCTTCGTTCACTGCGGTTGGAGCAGTCTTGCCTTCAAACGCATACAAGTGCTTTCACTTGCATATATATATATATACACACCCTTCGATGATGACATGGGTCATGTTCATGGGGGATAAATCTATTCCAGTCTGGATGGTCATGAAACCACTTGCGCGGTGTCGGGGTGGTTGGTTTCAACCAGTAGACCACGGCTGTGCTGGGTGGAACCCGGCAGGTCGAAGCCACGAAGCGGACCGGAGACCATGGCATGCGAGAAAACATCCGCACGAACCCGTGGGGGCAGGTTTTTGGTGTGAGAGGATTTCTTGGATGTGAAGGGGAGAGACACGGTTAAACATGTTAAAAGATGTTTTTTTCTTTTAATTGTTTTGTGGATCCTAGTGCTCCAACCATGTCCTCAGAAGGTGGTTAGACTCCCAAACCCACCACAACCACTTTCTGAGGATGTGGTTGGAGCCGTAGGGGATAGTCACAACGTTGGCCTTTCAAGCTTCAGATCAAGGTCATGTGTGAAGATGAGATGGGTATTCTCTCTCTCTCTCTCAGTCTCTCTCTCTCTCTCTCTCTGGTCTGCGGTGGCTTTCGCGGACCGAGCAGGTCCAGAAGATTATCTCAATGACAAGTCTTGTGTGAAAGGATGCATAAGAATAGATGTACCGTAGAAGTCCAAAGGCGTTCCCCCAGTGAAGCAAAAGAAGCTCCTTTTCGTGTCACCGAAAGCCATTCTTTCTATAGTCTTTGACTCCCAGGGCGTATAAGATGTATACGTAACTTGTACAACCCATCATGGCACGAACACCATTTACACACCATTTACATCCATTTGTGGCAGATTTCGCCCAGAACCAGAAACTGGAATCCTCGCAAACGGTCCGCCTCCGCCGACCTTTTTCTTGGCTCCAGCAGTGACTTCTCCCCTTTTCCGGACGAGGAACTTGCGAAAACCAACTCGCACAAGATGCCGCCCTCCCAGTGCCTCAGTAGAGAATGATGCTGGGAAAGTGAGTTGTACTTTGTGAATCCTCTTTGGGGGCAAACCTTTCGAGGGAAGCTGCTCATCTTCAGGATTTCTGGGGAATTCATGTCCCCAAACTACTCGATTGGAGTTGAGGAAGGACAAGTAAGTAGAGTTGGGAAATGTTGGAGATCACGATGGGAAGGAACATCTTCGGGAAACATGGTACTTTTCCTGGTTCGATGTCCTCTAGAACCATGACTCCATGTTCCGTGCTCCCCATCGCGGTTGTAACGGTGAAGAGGGCCGCGGTTGTTTCCGGGTCAAAGCCTCCAAACCAGGCCTCGTGGGAGATGTCTATGGCGAGCCCCAAGGCACCAAGCCCCAGACACCTTCCATTGGTTGTTCAGAGGAACACAGATCATTTTGCAGGATGCACCTTGGAGGCGATGAGCAAACGAGCTTTTCCTTGTCCCAACCAGTGCCCTCCCTGCCAGGTCAAGGGTCCTAGCAGGTCGAACAATTGGTGACCTGGCACTGTATAGGCAAGGGTCCTTCCTTTGAGCACTTAACTTCTCAGAGCAGTACAGATCTTAAGAGATCCCAGCCACCTTCCAACTCGCTCTTCTTGACTTCCACTGTCGGGACCGAAGGCCGGTTTGCTCCAGAGGCTCCTGACGGACCAAGCGTCCAAGCCCCCTCAACCCCTGTTGAGGCGCCGAGTGCTGATCATCGGCGGGAGCTTCTCCGGCTTAGCAGCGGGCCGAGACTTGGGGAGCCATTACTTGGTGACTTGGACGAGGGCTGCGGCTAGTGGCCAGTGGGTTAGTCACCGAGGGTCGGTGACTGATTGACTCACTGACTCACTGACCGGCCCAAATGGAACACAAACTCCTCGAAATACCACCCGGAGTAGAGGTCACCAAGGGTGAAAAACCCTCATGCATCTTTCCAACCCTCAACTCAAGACCTGGCTGTGGAGGTCTCCTGGCCAACTCAGATTTCAGCTTGAGCTGGGAATGATGAACCCGAAAGAGATTCCTTCAAATCCAGCCCTATGGATCCCTCCTTTAAGCACTAAACAGTGACTGGATACCAGTATGGGGCCACTCGGTTCCCTACGCTGAGTGCCCCATCTCGGACTGGAGCCGTGCGAAGCGTGCGCGGATTTGTTCGACTGGGCCGCCGCTCCTGGGAGTTCCACGCCTCGCGAGTGACGCGCTAGGCAACACATGTCAACCACCGGAACAGGACCTCAACCCCCCCCCGCAGTGTTCAGAGTGGCATTCCATGTTACAATGGGGTGCTTGAACCATGGTCTCAGGTTTTTGATCCACATCCTTGGGTTTGGACTCCACTCCTCTTGTTGTTGCTGCTGGTTCAACCCCTTGGAGTCGCTGTTTTTTCGCTCGCACGTGTTGGGACTGGACCAAACACCGAGATACAATGATGTGCGGGCTGTTGATTGAAATTTTCTCCGGGACCAGTAGTCTCCAAATCTGGCAGCTTGGTGTACGCCGGTCCAAATTTGGAGTTGTTCTTTTACACGACATTTATATACCTGGACCATCCAATGGATGTCCAATGGACTACCCTGCACTACCTAGGGGTCTCCATTGGATGGTCCAGGTACTTTGCCCCTTTGCTTTCGAACCTTGCTTTTCCATGACACCCCATGATCAGAACCCGCCTCGATTTGATGGACTCTTGGGGCATCTTCGTCCCGTTCACGGGGGAGTCGTCCACTCACCCTGTCCACCAGTCCGGCCCAGGTGACGATCATCGATGCCAAGGACGGGTAGGGAGGGTCGATGGCCTTCAGCAGAGGGAGACCCGATCACCCTTCAGCTGATTAGACTGGTCTCTGGCCAACCTGGAAGTCGGGTTGGGGGGTCGGTTGCTCTTAAACCAGGGGGTTCGGTGTCCCTGGTTTGAAGAGCGACCCATCTATGGGGAGGCGTCGTTCGACTTTGGAGTCCTGGTCCTTTTGGGGCCGGTCGTGCCTTGGTCGGTCGGGTCTTCCAACACCTTCCAACTGCCGGGAGACCCCACGGGAGTCCCAGCACGGTACCCTTTTTCAAGTGATCCCTTCAATGCTCATGGGAAGAAGAGCGGGGTTTGGGGTCAGAAGACTCAGGGTGATGGTCTCAGGTTTCGAAGTATTTGGTGGATGAACCCGTTTTCCTCTATCCCAGACCTTCCAGGGTAAAGTCGGATTCCACAACTGCACAGGATCCCGCAACTGGGATTCTGCAACTATGGGTCGGATTCCGCAACTGGGAATTTGCAACTGTCCTGATTCCGCAAGTGGGGTTCTGTAACTGGGGTTCCACAATTGTCTTGTTTCCGCAACTCGGATTGCACAGGCATCTTGATTCCGCAACTATCTTGATTCCGGAGTTTCAGAATACCAATTTCAACACTTCAGTTTCTCAGTTTCAGAAGTATAGTTTCAGAATCCCAGTTTCAGAACCCCAGGTTCTGAATCTGACCAAATAATTAGGTTCAGAATCCGGCTCTCACTGTTCTTCTAGGATGTGCCCCGAGAACGAATCCTGAACATTCCTGAACTCCCAACTGGTGCAAGGAGTATTTCGAGTACACCCCGGGAGTCTTGCGTGCCTACGTCAAACCAAAGCACTTGGACGCGCTGACTTTTACTTTGCAGCCAGTGATTGAGGCCTGGCTGGTCATTGTTTCGGGTGGGATGTGCGTTTCAGAAAGCAGCAGGTTGATGGATACCTCCCTATGGTTTTGGTGAGATGTTGTACCGATCCGGAAAAGGTCTGGCCACACAGCAGGGGGTGCTAAGCCACAGGATTTTCCAAGGCATTTCGGCCAGATGCTGCAAGGATGCTGACAGCTGTTGACACCTTCCAACATCTTCCAAGGATCTTTTTTTTCCCCGATCCCCGGTGGAGGGCGTTTCTGGTCGACTTGTACTGCTTCTTTCGCCGTAGCCGTAGGAACGTCGACGGTGTCGGACTCGAAGTGGAGTCGTTGAAGTGAAGAAAGCGGTTTCTGTCGCTGAAGCTTCGTTTGGGTGGGTCCGGACAGTTTCGGGGGGAGACATGACCCCAAGATCTTGAATGATAGGCCAAAACAGCGCCATGGTGGTGCTGGTCAAGTGTGACGCCGGACGGACACGGAGTGATGACGAGCGACTGTGGGTAATGTGACTGGGTCGAAGTAAGACGTGCTATCAAACCATTTTGGATGAGGATCCGGTAGTGACTACACTCCCGAAAACTAACATAGACCCTGACAATGGCCCCCTGGAAGAGTGTTTTCCTCTACCAACCAGTGGTTTTCAGGGTCCATGTTAGTCTTCCAGGGCGTATACTCAAACGAATGACACCTGGACCTGGAGTTTAAGCTGCATGGACTGACTAAACATGAATTTTGCCAAAACGAAAACCTCTTCAAAAAAATCATCATATGTCCAACCATGACTAGACAGTTCCTGAATCAACCGTCGGTTGCATCATTCCTGAATGATTCAGACGCCCCGCCGTGTCCCGTCCAAGCACCGACCTTGTTTGGTCCACACACCTCGGCTCGGCTCGGCTCGGCTCGGACGGGCGGCGTGGCGTCTCTCGCCAGACTCGCATGGGCTGCAAGTACATTTGGGGCGAAGTGAAGGAGTTGAACGGTGCGGAGAAGCCCAGCTGCACCGGAATCCGACGTGCGAAACAACTGAGGTTCATGAATGGACAGTTCAGAAAAAGCATGAGAAAGCCACGGTTTTCACCGAAGAAAGACATCGTAGGAGCTTTTTATATTTGCACCACCCAAATCACAAGGGAGCTTTGTCGCAGGTCCTCATGGACCGTAGCTGTGGCTGTGGGTGGCACAAGTTCGCTGGGCACTGATGGGTCTACTTCGTTCGCTCAGTTCCGATTCGATGTACCAGTGGTTTCAAAGTAGATGGCACAACCCCAAGAGGTCCTTTATATGGACCCCGGACCGGCCTTTAGGGTGATTTTGCACTCTACTCTGAAACCACAAAGGGAGGGGTCTTCCAACTGAACTGAACTCGGTGTCAGTGGAAACACCACAAGAGGTAGGCGATGCGACCAGGATCGCAAGGATGCGTCCTCCCCATCTCCGTCTCCGCCTGTGGAGACCACGGCGGGCTGAGGAAGACGGCCACCTACAAGCCAATCTTCACCAGTGAGAGAGTCGCTGGGTGTCGGACTTGGGGGGAGTCCATCCGCTTCGGAGATTCGAACCCCCCCAGAAAATCTCGGCGGGTCGGCGAGGAGTTACAGTGAGACCCTTGAAAAACACAGACTCTTCTGCTATAGTTGTGACTCAGTTGTGACCACTCCGTGTCTGAATGTAGAATTATGCGATTTTAGGTGAACAGATGATGTGAGCATGAACCATGAAAGATTCATGTACGGATTCTTCCCCATGTTTACGTTGTCAGTCCTGCGTCGCTGGTGAGAAGAAACTGCCAGTCAGCTTTGAACTGCCGATCTGTTTGTGTGCCCGTTTGGATTGGAATTGATGTCCCAAGTCATGTCACCTGAGTGTTTTGCTCGGGAAGAAAGACATTCTGGGATGTCTTACACGACAACTCTATGCTTGTTGAGCATCGGTCGCATCAGTGCTGGAAACTCTTAGCAGATCTCGTTTGACCCGGGTCATCCGGATGCCCCGCCATCCGTGAGACTGACGATCCTGAGGTCGAACCGAGGAGTGCAACGATGTTCACGACAACAACGGACTTGTCATGATATGTGTTGTGGTCTGTCCGAACTGACCTGTAAGTCATGTATAAACAATTACTGTATATATATACATATACCAGGGGCCCCACAAACCATCAAAAACCGGGTTTTCCCTTTCAAACAAACTGGTTTTGGTATGTGAAAGCCTTTACTTTTCATGGTTTTGATGGCCCCTGGTATATATATATATATATCAATTATATATCACTATTTGGGAACAAGGCCTGCAACCTGACCTAACCATCATCATCCACTGTTACTGGTATCCCAGGATAGACCCAAGACATGTGGGTTTAGATTTTCCCACACCGAGGGACTGCAGAGATCTGCTGAGCACCTCAAGGTCTGTCGGTAGAAGCCATGCCGAGAGGTAAGCCGAAGCCCCCGATTCGAGGCCCCTTTGATAGAGACATTCTCAGTTCTGCGCAATAATCATGTGACAAAGCATCATTTGAAGGCTCCAACCTCCAAGAATGAGGTCAAAGTCTGGATCATGGTCTAACGCAGAATCTTGCTTAAGAACACTCCCCATTTGGATTGGTGAACACCTCTTCCGGGGTTGGACAAAATACATGAACCGGTGTCGCCCTTGGACCAACACACCATAGGATCCAGGAGACCAAACCCTCGTGGGCTTCCTGAGGAAACCATTGACTTCGACTACTGCATCATTGCGGCGGGCTGCAATTTCGGCCCTTTCCACAAGCTGGGGGGACCCAGAAGTGACCACGGTCGCGCACTCCGCGCGAATCGCAGGGTCAACTGGTCGTTGATCCCCGAAAGCCCTGCATGAGGCTCGGATCTCCTGAGGGCCGAGGTCATTCACATGTCAAACTTGCTTCCAAGGAGAAGTTTGAACTGCACTGCAGGTTCATTCTGTTTGCTGGTTCAGTTCCATCGCTTTTCATTTCGGTGTTCAGCTCATCCTTGGAAGCTCTAAACAGCTCCTGGCTTCCATCCGTCCCCCCCTCCGCTCGCCCGTTTTCCGCCGCGCGCGCGGTGCGACAGGTGGGGCGAGTCACTGTGGTTCCCGACCATCCACGAGGATGCGCGCCCGGAAGGCGGGGGATAGAAGGCGAAGGCACACGGCCAACGGAGAGGTGAAGGTGGAGAGGCAGAGGATTTGGACGAGGTGAGGTGCGATAGGAGGGGGAGAGGTAGGATGAGATAAGAGAGGTATAGATGAGGTAGGTAGGTGCTGCTTCTTGATGATCACCGTCCCAAATGTTCAGCTCACTCTGTAAATTGTGAGCTCTTTGACTGAGGTGATGTAGGATCTTTTCCTTCAGAAAGAGATGCGTGGGGCGTTAAAAAAGGCACTTGTGCCAGCTAAACGTGCCAACTCCCCAGCTGTCTTGGCTTCCACTCCCTCCCGGAACCTCCGTGTTGCCAGGCTCTTGGCCTCACCTGGATGAGCGCTACTTGGAAGGCCGCAGGCGACACGTCCTCGAAGAGTGCCTTGGAAACCATGGGCGCCTTGCGGCGGCGCCGACGCCTGCGTCGGGCGGTGACGCCTGCGTTGTGCTTTCTCAACCATGAGTTATCGGCTCCGGATGTCTCCAAGAAGGTGGGGATGGGTTTGGAATAAATCTCCACACCTTCTGGTAGTTTCATCCATACGTCCAATCATATACGTCCATAGGGCAAGTTGATGCAAGTTCATAGTTCATCCCCCTCTCTTGCTCGGTACACTGAGTCACTGAGCGTCTTGAGAGCGCATGCTCCTTTCAGACAAGGCCAGCTGAGAAGGGTTCCTTTGTGGTTCTTTCCAATCACTGATGATGGCATGAGCGCTGTAAGGATTGTCGTCCTCCCTGCCAAAACATGCATCAGTGGGAAGCTTCCACTTCCTAAAAAGTGAACGTGCTGTTTGTGCCCTATACTAGCAACAAGGGCATCGCTACTAGGAGCAAGGACGCTACTAATAGCTCCTGGCCTTACTACTAGTAGCAAGAGGACGCTACTAGGAACAAGACCTATAATTCTTCAATGTCATCAAACTTCTGACCTGTGGATGCTCGCCCATCTGCTTTGCATCTACTTATCTTCTTGCGAGTTAGGGTTGAAATATGAGTCGCGAATCTGAGGTTCAACAACAACATATGTAGCCCAAGGGTCTCACATTGCCAGTAACAGTCGGTGAAAGGTTGCCACTATATGTATACACACAACTTTTCGGCAAGGCCTTTGCTGACCAGCATCTTCCACCGGTAGTAGTGGAATCTTTATCGCTCTGAGACCCGTATCATCTTGGCATCTCTTTTGGCTTCGAGGTTCAACTTCCTGAAGAGCTTGAACGACAAGTCGGCCACCTGCCTGGTGGTCGGCGCTGGCTTCATCGGTGTGGAGTGGGCCACGGAGATTCAGCACTTTTTCCCCAGGGCGTCTCGGCTCCGCGTTACGTTGGTGGATATGGAGGACAGGTGGAGGACAGGTTTTCAGGTTTCCCCTTGCCCCACAGGTCAAAGTCCTCATCTTACCGGAGTTGGTCATACAAACACTTTACTCAAGGATGTAAAGGACCAGGTTTTACGGATCTTAGACTTGTAGGGTTGGTTGGTTGGTTTTTGTAGTTGTCTTTCCTTATTTTGCTTTGGTGGAAGTTTCTCCCTGTCTCTGCCCGAGTTTCACCATGTGCCAAATAGATGTGCCACGATGTGCAGAGCTGGACTCTAAAGGTGATGACAGTGCTCCATATCCCAAACACGACTAATGGGACTGCCATAGGACTGCCGATCAGGCCAGGGGTGGTTGACCAGGAGTCAATGTAGACATATATACCATACATGGAGTGTCTGGATATTTGTTTTGACAACCAACCGACATGGAAGGGCCTGTTCTTGGTCCATGCCAGCCAGATGGCCTCTCTTCAGCTTTTTCGAGTTGATGGATCACCCGACAACAGCAGTCTTTCATTGGACATGGTGTTCCAAAAAAGCCCCGGAGGCGGCCATCGTTCCGCAACGTTCGACGGGTGTTTTTCCGAACCCAGGCTTGGGGTGAAGCGAAGACAGACGAGTCCACCCATTCGCGGCCCGGGGGTACCCCTAGTGGTACCCCTATTTAGACTTATATTTATCCCCATCTGGTGTGCAAGTATTTCTTTACTGTAGGTGGACCCCTGAGTATATAATCTTATTTAATCTTATTTAATTCTTATTATATATATAGAATATAGAATATCTAGTGGTTTTAAGTTCTAAATAAAGAGCTGCCAAATGTGGGGGGTGCGTCATCCGATCATTTCGATGTCCTTTTTGGATTTCACCTCCATGAGAATTGGAAGTTCAAGATAGGTGTATTCTGCATATCGTCACCGACACCCGGACTCGTCATGGATGAGGTGAAGTTGACCATCATTGATTTCTTGCCACAGCCGCTGGGTCCTCTGCCAGCTTCGGCAGCCAAATACTGTGAGACTTGGAACGAAGGTGCGGCCACGTGCTGCACCTGGATTGTGGTGTGGGGGAGGTTCAGGAACACGGATCACTACGTAGTTCTAGTGTTGTTGTCTGGTGCATCTCATATTCTGAGGAGAAGTACATGAACAAGGTTGGCATCAAGCAGTTCTACAACACCAAGTACGATGCCAAGAATACTGAGTTCTGGAAGAGCATCGATTTGCCCAACGGTGCGGACAAGGAGTACGTGTGCATCGGTGTGAAGGCGTCCAACTACTTCATGCCAAAGGAGACCCTGAGCGAGAAGGGACCTGGTGGCGGAGGTTGGATTCTGATGGCCCACTCCTCAGCGTGTGGTTTCGAGACCCAATCACGAACGACAGCAATACATGTTTGAGTCTGAACAGAAAAGGACAGCAAGAGAAAGAAGGACACAAAGAAATCTAAAGAACAATATGAAAACAAGAACGAAAGAAAGCGCCACAGAGATTAAATACACATTTTACAGCACCTCCTTGACCTAGAACCAGAACTTGTCCGTCAAGACTCGCGATGGCAAGCTGTGGGGTGCAGATGACAAGGGCTTCCCCCGCATCTATGCTGTGGGCGATTGCAACTACGGGTGCATTGAAGAGCCAGGCAAGAAGCCAGACGATTGGCCGATTCCACCCATCCCAAAGATCTCCTACCCCGGTGAGGAGATGTGCATTGTCGCCTGCACCAACATCGAGAAGACCGACAGGCTGCTCTTCCAGAGCAAGACGGTTGATTGCTGTGGAGACCCATTGAAGGTTTGGGACATGCACTGGCCATGGGGTGCCGGGATGTTCGCCACATCCTTGGGCCCAGATGACGCTTGCTTCGTGGCTGGCGCCAATTGGCAGAAGAACTCCGGCCTCATGTGCGTTTGGGGTCAGGTCTGTGCCGTGCAGAAGGAGTTCATTGAAGCCTCCAAGACGGATGCTTGGTCCGTTTTGGTTGCTACCTCCGGTTTCGGTCAATGCTGGTTTCAAGTCATGACTTATGACCGTATACAATATACAGCACATTAAGTACTATGTATATATATATATTATATTGTTACTATACACAGTAGTATACACATTAAGCACTATACACATTGGTATACACATTAGTCATTAGTATTTGTTCGTATATCCCCTCACCCCACCACCACCATGGACACCACCTAGACGAATTTTGCCACCACTCCGCCCGACCCAATCACACGCCCGGGTCTTTCCGCCCAAAGCCTGTCTTTTGGGGCCCATCTTCAACAGGGAATCAATGGTATTCCGTGGTCAAAGCTCAAGTTCTGTGTGCAAAAAAACAACCAGCACTACCCAGTTCGGGTGGTTTATAGACACCCAAGGTATAAAGGTATTTTCAATAACCACCCTTTTGGTGGTGCTGGAAGGTGCGCTTGTTTTGTTCTGCGTTTGCAGAACATGAGTCACAGGCTCGGGGGTCACAGGGATGGCTTTGGCAACAGATCCTCAGCATGGAGCTTTTGCTCCGGTGATAGACTATCTTTGGCGTCGCCCAAGGTGTTCTCCAGCTCAACCCTCCTAGAGATGTGGGTCAAAACATGTGGAACTGATTTTTTCACAAATTGGGAATGTCCACCTTCTATGCAGCGTACTTGAAGAGCGACCAAAAACAGTTACTCAGTTCCAGACATGTTTGGGACCTTCTTCACTCATCCCTACCCTGCCTGGGTCGCCCAGGATGAGTGCGCCTATGGCTTCATTGGCCGCTGCATTTGGTACTTCGTCCACCACACGCCGGTGCACCTTTTCGGCGGTGGCCCACGCTGGGGTGTCTCGGCGGAAACGCGCAGCCAAGGGACGTGTGCTTCTTTGGACCGGCTTGTTTGGTGCTCTTTTGGTGGATGCTTTGACGGAAGCGTTGGCTCTGGTGATTGGTGCTAGTGCTTGTTGGTGCTCGGTGCTGGGTGCTCATGGGCTTTTATGATTGGTGGCTGTTCGACATTTGTTGAACGTCTCCACGAAGCTAACTAAGTTCTTAACCCAGATCCGAGAAGCTGTGTTCGGTGCCTCTTCACAGCGATGAGTCTAGCTGACCTTCAGGTTGACCCCCCCCAAACTATCAACCCCGCTTGTAATTATACAGAAACACATTTGCTTAACCACACCTCTGAATTTGCTTGATTATTCCGTTGTTCCACAACGTTTTCTCATCCTTTTTAGGCTGAAACAGCCCGACCTTGACCTTGCCATATCTCATCACAATCACTGTTCTGTTTAAGAACCTCATTGGATTTGGTCATACAAGAATCATGACTCAATGAGGTGAAAGATCAGGCTTTACTGGGTCGAAATCGACCTTGAGGCAAACTTTGTTTACATCCCGAAGAAGAGCGGGCGACCGGAAGTAACTGTACAAAGGTCTATAGTAACTCTCTCTCTCTCTCTATATATAGTACTACAATACTATATGCTCAATGTTACGCTCTTGCGGCTTCCAGCTCCAGCCCACGGCAGGCTATTGAGACCGCGAGAGATCCGACGAATGAATGGGCCTTGAACCTGCAGTCAATCTGCATCCCTGCGACATCGCTTCACCTAAACGGGTGAGTGGCGTTTTTCAATGGGATGGAATTTTGCGGACCACTGCGTGCTTTGGTGGCTTTTAAACCATTGCAGACCTAGAGATTATGCCAAGTGAAGGTCGTCACAAAAAGCAGTGCGGCGCACTTTACTTGCCGTGTGAGCGCGTACATTATACAAAGGGTGCCAGAGGGGTTTGTCCTAAATAGCAGCCACTTTTGCCCATTCGAACAACTTCCAAACACCAAGCAAGTACTCGCAATGACACAGGAGGCAAGGGATCTACATTAGTAATCATTAGTATCTACATTCAGAGTCCTTTGGCAAGAGCTGGATTTGATCCTCTCGAGTTTTTCCGGATCGTCAATTCGCTGATTCCACGAGTTCTCTCGATTTCTCAAAAAACCACGAAACTCCCTACCTCTCACAAAAGTGAGTTTCTTTCTTTGAACACGTCTCATGTCGCGGGTCGACACCCCGCGAGCTTACGGCTCCGGCACCGGCGAGCGGCGCGGCGCCCTCCCGTCCGTCCCTCGGCGCCGATGGCACCGTCGGGGAGCTCAGACTGAGTGAGGGGTGGGAAGTGGCTGGGGACACAACTCATCAACTATACAAGTACATACAAGTACATACAATACCCTGCAGAGGAGTCACGACCCTGAAAACCACTGGGTGGGAAATGAAACATACTCTTGCAGAGGTCCATGTTAGTTTACATAGCACCAAGGCACCAAGGTCATCACTAGGCTTACTGCTACTGCTACTGCTACTCGTACAGCTACAGCTGCTGCTGTTACAACTACGATGACTACTACGACTACGACCGCAACCACAACCACCGACGCTCTCTCCATTGCTGCAATCCTTGCTGGCCATTATATGCCTACGACAATCTCTTGTTTTTGTGACTTGGTCCAGTCCTTCAAACCAGGTGATTCCGGATGATACCGGTATTTAGAACTAGCACGAATTAGCGGCTTGGATTTGCTAAGAATGGACAATTAAACTAAAAACACTCTTTGTTCAGCCACAGCCGAGGACCTTTTGTATTTTGCCTTTGAACCGCATACTGTAGTACACCTACAAATCGCCACCCGGTAAGTTACCTTTGCCTTTAGAACCGGGGGTTCTCCGCTCGAACCCCGAAACTTCGATGAACCAAGATCAACAAGACGTTTCCTTGCTGGCTCAGATTAAAACCTGGGGCATTTGACACATCAGCTTGCGCCAGTATATTTAGCCCATTTTAGCCCCATGAACCAGTCTGATGGTATATTAACTCCATCTTTGAGTGTGCTCTCGGAACATTTGTTTTCTTTGCCAAAGAACTGACTTTTAGGCGTGGACACCACGGACACTACTGGGATATCGACAAGCAAGTGGATGCCCTCTCCGAGACTCCTAGACCTAGAAAACCAGGAAAGTTAGATGAGGGAACTGTCTATCCCAAAACACCAGACACCCACACCTTCACAGGGCCGTTTTGATCCGTTTTGGTTCGTCGATCGGTGATGTGTCTGTTGAGGCGTCGGGTGCTGGTGGTGGGTGGCAGCTTCTCCGGTCTGGCGGCCGGCCGCGACCTGGGACGCCCGGAGCGATGGAAGCGAACGAAGCGAACGAAGCAGGTGAGAGCAAGAGCACTGCTTAGCACTGCTGGTCTCCAGATGTCTCCAAATGTTTTTTTCTCCAGATCTGCTTCAGGAATCTTACATCTATGGCATGGAATCTGAAAGAGATGCCAGAATTCCCAAAATCCAGGAGTGCAACCGCAAGCACCTGAGGACTTTCCCAGCACCTGAGGCCATTGGAGAACGTCCAGAAGAACTGAAGTGGATCACTGGGCCCTTAGATGTTCTTCTAGGCTGCTAGACACTTCATATTTCATGGGAAGATCTGCCTACATAGACGCCAGGAAGATCTCCATTTCAAGGGATTTGTCAAAATTATGGTAAAAAAAACACACATGGGAGTGTTTGGGAATGCGAACGACCATCTTCCAAGATGGGTTCTTTTTTGGGCCGGTGTTGAGATGGAAGCAACCGGGACTTTTTCTGCATTGCACCAGGGGATCAGGGATCCATCACCCACTACAAAGTTCAGGAGCGAATTCAAAGGATCCTTAATAATCTCATTAGATCATATCCTTTTGTAGAATGTGTGTTCATAGATCAGATCCAGATGATCAAGGACCAAAGAGGCGATCTTCTTTTTTAACACAATTCTTTTTGTATATATATACATATATATATATATGTATCACACTATATCATGATGTTTTCTTTCGTGAATCCCTGCATTTTCACTTGATGTGATCCTAGGTGTGACACACACCACTTAGCACCAACAAACGCTGTTCATGGCTCAAGAAAAGCATCGTCCGTTTTTGGAAACTCAGGTTATGAGCCCAACGACCTGTTTTTCCCTTTGAAGTCCACCCCTGTGGA